AACGTCACTCCCTCTTTTGCTGGCAAGAGGCAATCTGCACATGCAAAATCATGTGTTTCATAAATTTTAGACCCCAGTCTTTGCATCTCCAGTTTATTACAACATTTAATGTGTATTTGCAGACACAAGTGTATGTACACAGGCAATAGCAAGATTGGGCTTTCATTTCCTAGCCTGGCCATACTGAGACATTATGTGGACTGTTTTCCCCCTGCACCACGTTATTGCTGTGGCTGCTTCTCACACCATGCAGTTGAGCCTTCAGTCAGGTTTCATCCCTGACTCCATCTGGAGGGAAGATATGGGTGTCTACCTTCCTCTTGCAGATGTCAGGGAAGTCATGATTCAGAAATAGCAGTGTCAGAATCATGATGAGCAAAACTAGGGAGGGAGGGGTTGTTTATAAATGGAGATAGACCTTTGTTTTGTCATGTTGTTATTTATTTCCCTAGCAGATGACTGAGACTAACAAGGTAATTTTGTATTCTGTTAAAGGTTTGTTTCAAAGAAAACATTCTCCAGTCTAGGTTGTTCTTCACAGACTCTCGATTTTCAACCTTCTCACTTACTCTCTTTCAAGGATGCTGCTATTTCACATCAATAACTGACACCTTTATTTCAGAGAACGAAATAGAATTACACTCCAGTACTGACAATACAATAAATCAGGGGGGGATAAAATACATATTAGTGAAGTTCACATAGTCAGTTTGTCCCAGCTGACCTATAGATATAAAAGTATGATTAAAGTTTTTTTGGACTGCTTCTTCTCAATCTTGCCATAAGATTTAGCTCCCGCTCATAGATCTGGCCTTTGCTGGTCCTCTCTGCTTACCTTGATTCTTTGGAATTACAGTTATTCCCTTGAACCCTTTCTGCCTGTACAGAATTAACACTGTGTTGTGACAAAATATTATTTATTTGGCAGCAGAATGAAGCCATCTAGAATTCAATCAAGTTAGACAATGTCACAGAGCACATCCTGAGTGAATAATTTCTACCCAGCTTTTTTAATCAAAGAAATCTTGGCCATATAACCAGGAGGAGTCATGCTGGATAGTCACATAGCTGTCTGCAGTTAAAGTTTGGACATGTCAGTTGTGGGGTTATTTATGAATTAAGGTTGAAAAGCATGACTGCCAGAGCACTGAATCTTTCAGATGGGGAACAGAAATAGAATCTTAAAGCCACAAGTTTATTGAGAGTATGAAAAAATTTATTAACCTTCTTGGAAGTGTTTTTACTGAAGAAGTTCCTTGTGGTTCACCATATTGGTAAAAACCAAGCATTAATAAAAGAAGCATGAAAACTGTGCACTGAATACTCCTGAGAAAACAGTATGTGGCATTTATGTTTTCCCTATTGAGGATGAGATTACCAGATGAAGTAAATACACACAGTTATACTGAATTCTGTGGGGCTATCCAGATTTGTCAAGCATATGACCCAAACTTGCTATTTTGGGAAGAAGCAGTTATTGAAAAGATGTGTGTTTTTAACAACCTCATAATAGGGTATTTGCTGCTTTTAACATCTTTTCCATTATATTCACTGCTACGTATCTTTTTTCTTTCAACGCAGTTGTTAAGTTACCTACATGTCTACTAGTTTCATCGTTACTAAACCTATGTGTTCTCCTTGAAACTAAATCTGGACAAGTTCCACACCATTTCCCCCTAGCCCTTCCATTCATATTATATACTAGAAGAATTTAAGCTAATGCAGTAGTGTCAAATTGAGATGCATTTGACAATGCACTTTTCCTCTGATGAGGGATGGGCTAGTGTAATCAGCAGTCATTTTTTGTGTGTGTGACCTTGACAAATCAAATGGTTATTTCCATGCATTTCATTTGTATTTTGCTCCCAGTGGTGCAAGATTGCTGCCGTCAGTGTAAGGCATAATTTACAGATAAAATCACATTATAATAGGGTGCAATATTTTCAAAAAACATACACACTGTGTGGACTTTTTAATGAAATAAAGAAATGTAGAAGCTGGCCAAGACTAAATTTATGCTGCTAATTCACAGAGGAGCTTCTATGGTCACCATAGAGATGTCCTGGAGCAGCTGCCAAGCAGTGAAAGTGGAGGCAGCAGTAAAACTTCTTCGGAATAAATCTCATGTTAGTAATGGAAGTACAGTAGAGAGGTGCCATAACATTAGGGATCCAGAGTGGTGCCTGCAGAGGTTCCTTCTACCAAATGCACCTGATTTGCACTCACTGGTTGAATAAACATCATAGAGTTTAATGCATTCCCAGCATATGTAGTTGTGAACACTCTTTCATTTCGACATGACTATATGCTTCTTGTGAGGTCCAGGGAGTGTTTGTTCATGGGAGGCATCCAGTGAGTGAATCTGAAAAGTGAACAGTGATCTACATCCATGAGACTTCTTTCCATTGCGTTAATAGATTCTTTATGCCTGCAACCCCCTTCTGAACAATTTAGCCTTTTCTTACATATGACACAGAATAATGTTGCCCATTCCCCTGCGTTGTTATGTGTATTTATATATATGTCAAAAACCATACCAAGTAGCCACAAAACCTCATGATTCATTTGTTTTAAATTAAGGAAATGTTTTAGAAATAGGACGTTGTCTCTTATTCAGTGAATCAACTGATAATGCCTCAATAAAAACTGTAGAAACATCTTCTTGAAGAGCTAAACTTTAAGACTCAAAGTAACTGGCTGTCATGGAATATCAGTTATTAACTCACTGGTATATATATATTTTAATTGAAGATACAAATCCAAAACAAAATAATGGAGGATTGCACTACTTACCTTGGTTCCCATGTTGACCACATGACATTTCTCATGTTTTTCCTGTACTTCCCAAATTTCCATTTAGTCACAGGAAGCTTGTTTTAAGTGAAGGAGCTTAGATGAGGAGCAGTAATTTTAAAGATTGTAACAGAAAAAAATTTTAAGACATTGTGTGTTCTCACAACATCACAAGAGTTGTGTTCTGAAGCCTTTTATTCTAAATTTTGAGTTTCTTGAAAAGGGAAAGTTTCGGTAAATACTGTTTTACACACAATGCTTCTGAACATTGAGAATAGAGCAAAATGTATGTACAAAAAATATATATATATATTTATATATGCACCCATGCACTTTTTAATATTGACATGCATATAGAACTTCACATAGCATATTTGCCCAGAGAATTTGTGGCTGTTCCATCCTTGGAAGGGTTAAGGACAGGTTGAATGGGGTTGGAGTAACCTGGCCTAGTGCAAGATATACTTGCCCATGGCAGGGGGCTTCAACTTGATGACCTTCAAATGTCGCTTCCATCCCAAACCATTTTATGATTCTGTATTTGAAAGTGAACAGGAAAAGGATATTCTCTCAAAAGAAAAGAGATCAGCTTCTGGCATAGTGAACTATGTCCATGCTAAACCAAATGATGGAGCCATGAAAAATGGAAAGTAGCAGTTCATGTCACAACAGAGTAAGTGTCTGTGTAAAACCACCATGGCTTTGGCACAGAAACTGTTGCTCTTGCTGTTTCTGGGGACTACAGTACTGATGCTTCCCTGCAAGCTATTGGGGCTTGTGATGCTGATAGTAGAGATAATTGTCTGACAAACTACAACATTGGTTTTCTGGATTTGGATGATACTTTGGTCTGGTAATTAGCAGTAAGATCCTCCTAGCTCGAGAAAATGTATTTCTGAGCCCTGTGTAGGCTACTTCATCTCGTATTTCCACTGCAGATAGGAGAATTAGTTTTTTAGTGTGTTTTGAAGTCAAAGACATTATGTACGTTTGAGCTAGTAAGGTTGACTTTGGAATTGGACCTGAATTAGGAATGACTGCTTTTTCCTCATCTGGCTCTTCTTATCTCTCAGGTGTTTTACTAGTATCAACCAGTACAATGGAAGAAAAAGGTATTGTTGGTCTAAAATACTACTGCCACCACAAAAATGTACGCTGAAGGAAATATTTAGGATTAGTGTTCTCCTGAGAAAAGTGTTAAGTAGAAGACATGCTTTTCTGAGGGATTACACCTATATCATTCAAACACAAAAAGCTATAATTAGAAATAAATATTTAAAGTGGTTTGCTAATTACTCCTCACTGTCTGATGTTTTTCTGATTGTACCAGCCTTATTTAATCTCATGGTTTTGTTTAAAGGAGTCAAAGATCTCTGCAAAGACTGAGAGTAGATAAGGTTTGCAAATATCACGAGTTTGTGTTTTGCATTGCTGGATTCTGCTTAGTTCTTCACTTCTGAAACCCCTCTACAGATGGCCTCTTGCTAAATTTTAAAGCACTTCCACGTTTCAGAACCAGGCTACCTTTCAGCAAGTCACTTTTGTCAAAGCCTTGGTGTTCCTTCAAGATATTGTCAACGTGTCCTATATGAGAATGTATGAACGGTGAATTACCCATGTCTGCTCTGATTCATTTATTTAAATCTATGGAATGTATTTAAATGAAGTGAAGAAGAATGAATTTTTTTCTGCTTAGGAAATCAGTTACAGCAGGCCTGGTACTAGACAGCAGAAGTAAGTGTGCCTTAGATGGTGATTAAGAGTTGTGTTGTTCTTCTTTAAATGACTAACCTGGAGTGAGAGGTTGGATGTCTTTTGAAAACTTAAACCTGTTTCACCTGAACATGTTTAACTAGTTAATAAGAAACATCAAAAAAGACAAAACCCTGAGGTCAATGATCATTTTTTGTAAAGCCATTCGATGATGTTTAAATTTGTTTTTTGGGTCTGTCTATAACATAAGTTTAATAACCTAGCTCAAATGCAGATTTCTAATTTTCAATTAACATAGGAATAATTTTGTTTGCTAAAATAAAATAAATGAATGAATGAAAAGTCGGAGCCATGAAATGTTCTAGGTAGCACTTTTTAAAATTCCAAATTTCAAAAAATCATGTGGCAACTGTATAGCTCAAGCTTTAAGTATTAACTTTTAACCTTTGACCTTACAGATTTTAACCAATGAAATGTCTCTTTAAACTTTAAAGGAAACAATGATAACGAGCGCCTGGCGATTGCTAGACAGCGAATTCCATATCGACTTGGTCGAGTAGTTGATGAATGGCTACTCGACAAAGGTAAAAAACATTGATTAAAACTTCAAATAAAACAATAATTTGAACATAACCAAGTAGTGCTTCATTGTAACACTAATAAACATAAAAAATAAATTTCAGTAAAACTAAATTAAAAACAAATTTTAAAAAAGTAAAATATAGAGTAATATTTGCATACCTTGTATAATAATTTCTCTACATTTCTAGAAGTACCAGCTGTTTAATAATCTTACCCTGTTAACTTAAGGTTAAAGGGACTGTTAAATATAATCCACTAACTCAATCTATGAAGGTACTCATAGCAAACATTAACCAAAAATTATAAATCATTCATAGATTATATGACATGTTCCAGCATCTAAATTATTAACTAAAAATATATGTAGTTATGCTATCTTCATTATGGTCCTGAAAAAAAATTTGTTTAAACTGTAGGTATCTTAAATAGTGGGCAATATGACTTGCCAATCAAAATGAAGTCCCTTTAACGTTTGCAACCTTCTAAGGGGATTTTGGAACAAACATGAATTAAAACCGAACTTAAAGTTGTGTGCATGCTTTTTGTGAGCAGAAACCAATCTGCTAAAGTGACTGTTCTATTTACTAAGAGTGGTACTGTTGCTGAGGATTTCTCTGTTTATTGGAAATGTGCCATGATTTCTCCATCGGTATGTGTATCATTTCTGAAGCCGCTTTTACATCTAAAATCTTTTATTTGAATTGATAGCCTTGCTGAAAGCCAATCAGACATCTGTTTTTGAATCTGCCTCTGAGATACTCAGTGTGAACCATGTGTTTCTCTCCAGTGTGTATGGTGAAGGAAAATAAACATTTAAATACAAAAAGGAATCATTTAATTACAAATGTAAATATTGAATTCAGTTACATAGAAAAATGACAGATTACTGCATAAAGGATTCTTTAAAATTCACTTGATGTTGTGGCTTGTTGGCATATATATGTAAACTCTCTCTGTGTGTATATACATATTTCTATATGTCTATACATACATAAACTGACATGTACATAACTAAAGCTATAGGCCCTATGATGTGTTGTGTGGAAAAAACTTGAAGAAAAAGTAATTTTAAGGAATTAGAAACCTGGCATTCTTGACACACACCCCAAAAAGTTTAACACTGCTTTCAGGTAAAAGGGAGAGGGGTATCATTTGTAGTGCTAAACACATTTGTAAATGTATTTGATTGGCCTTTTAGCAAAAAAAAAACCCAAACAAAGAAAGAATCCCAAAACGTTGCAAATTAGGAAAAATGCAAATGCTCTCCAAATTTATGCATTTCATGGACACCTCATTAAAAAGCAATGAATTATGAGTCAAATCCTTTTCTTATAGTTTATTGCTCTCATTATTCACCCCATGACAATCTGTTATCACTCATGTAGAGTATAGTGTTCGCAGTCAACATTTTTGCATGTATATAATATTATCTTCACAGGGCGTCAGCTCACAATCTTCAATAGCCAAGCAACCATAAAAATTGGAGGCAAGGAACGTGGCCACCCTTTCCAAGGCCAGCTCTCTGGTCTTTACTACAATGGCTTGAAAGTTCTGAATATGGCAGCAGAAAATGATGCCAACATCGTGATAGAAGGAAATGTGAGACTTGTTGGTGAAGTGCCTTCCTCTATGACAACCGAGTCCACAGCCACAGCGATGCAGTCCGAGATGTCCACGTCAGTCATGGAAACAACCACTACTTTGGCCACGAGCACCGCTAGAAGAGGAAAGGCCCCAACAAAAGAACCTATTGGTCAGGTTAGTTGTCTTCCTCACTTTTTCCTGGTTTTGAGTGTAGCTTTCTGTATCACATTTGCTCTGCAGATGAAATTGTTCCTGTTGGAGATATGCTGAATTACAGATAAAACCTCTGTACTGAACATGGCTTGTGGATGTGATGCTGATCAGCATTTAGAGAGAAAGTAAGCCTTTGCTGTTCCAAATTAGGCAGACTTACCAGTTGAGATATTGCTTGTGCTGAGTTTTATTGCCCTGTTATCCATCTTCATGGTGGACCATATTTTTAAATACCCTTTCTTCCCTTGATGGCTTCTATTGATTCTTTTCAGTGTAGGAATGCAGGATGTCTGGAATTGAAGTCATGGCTTTATCCATGAGATAGAGAAGAGAGTCCCAGTTTGCTGAAGGAACAGAGGAAGGATGTGTGAAAACAGAAACTTGGAAGAGGCTGGGAAAGAGGGAATTAGCACTTTCTCTAATCCCGTGATTGATCACCTCAGGCAGAATTCCTCCTAAGAGGCAGTGGTAGTAGAGGGAATTAAGAGCATGCTACACCCTGGGAGACTCAGGCTCCAAGTCAGAGGCTGTTGTTTACTCTTCATTTGAGGTTATTTGCATCTCATGAATTTAGTGATATATTTAGTAGCTTTCACGTTTTGTCAGTATCTCTGTATAATATATGGTGGAATTTAATGATCAGGAGAAGGAGGGGGGAAACCAGGTGAGTGAAGTAAATACCTTCATCTTGTGGATACCCTGAGTAACAGCATTCAGACTTTGAGCTTTAAAAACCTAAAATCTATCAGGAGATTTCTGTGGCAGGGAAGTCTTTTATAATAATTCTGTCTGTTAAAAGCTTTTCCTACGTTCACTTGGTTCACATGCTTGCTTGTGTGCCCACTGTGCTATCAAACTATGACAGCTATGCTCTGGGATCCAGAAGTAGGACAAGGAACAAAGAAAGCATCACAAGCTATAGGGAGGAACAGGAGCACAATGTGATGAATGAGGTTAATTTTCTCAAGAATGGAGGAGAACATGCTGATTAGACTGGGAGGTTGAGGTCAAGTTGCCTGTTTTCTGTGTAAAACTTCAACTCACGGTTGGAATTTGATTGAGGCATCAAACTTGAGACTTCAGCTTTCCTGTCCATAGTATTTTTGTGTGCTTTATATTGTAGACTGAAAACTACAAAAACTGTTACTTTATAAAGTGAACATTTAAGTTAAAAGCTTTTAAAAAACCATTTTTACTTGTATTTTCAAACACATGCAGGTTTTGTGCATTTTCCTTGTTTATATAAAGTATATGAGAATACAGTTTAAAAAGAAGGAGGGGAGGGCAGCTAAAACCCAACTGCAGATACATGGAACCAGCTGCCTCCAAAAAGTGTTATCCATTGTAGATTGTAGGTTGGAATTCTCTTAATGGTTATTGTAGTAAGCTACAGTGGTTTTATTAAATAGGCAATATATTTTCTTTGTTATTAATTTTGTTTTAAATAGTATCTCCCACTTTCTTGTCCAGCGAGGCTGATCTCAGTGTTTTGCAGCATCAAAATATAAGACTTTATCAAATTGACCCAGAGACAGATCTGCATCTAAAAGTGCAGGACATCCTCACAGCATGGAAGAATGTGGAGCTAAATTAATGCTACTAAATTAAAATGAAACCAGGTTAAACTATAACAGTTCCCAGCATGCCTTTTGGCCTCTGCCACTGTCTGGTAACTCTCAGGCATAATTTGGGAGGAAGAACGTGATAGGGACCATTCCCAGTTGGCACCTTGCATGATTTCCTGGAGATAGGACTTTACTAGTATAGTTGCTTTGCTAGTTGGCCTCAGTTTCCAGGAATATTCCCCAGTATGTTTTACAACTTGTTTGGATGTTTAGCCACTAAGATTTTTCTTTCTGAGGTGTTCCAGTGGCATATTTGGGGAAGGAAAAAGTTTCCTAAGCTAACAACTACATGGTGGGTATATTTCTTTCTGAATAGGACAATCAGGCAGAATGATCCTCCACAGATCTTCAGTTACAAGCCTCAGGCAGGCTCCAGGAGCATCCAGAGGTGCCCAAATTCTCACCAAAGCACATTCTGAGGGTAAAGGTTTTGGTCAACCTGTCTCAGGTATTAACCTGGCTGGTGCGAGTAGTTGATGCAGCCCATTTGAAACTCTGCAGCTGAGAGCTTGAAATCAGTATTTCTGAGGAAAACATTTAATATTAATTTCATTACAGCACATGGCGTCCTGACTGTATAACTGAACCCTTCTTGCCATTAGTAATACACGGTGGTTTACTTCAGCTATGTCTAAGCATCCTGCCTGGTAGGATCTGTGTTGCCATTAAGACTATACAAGTAATTAGTCAGGGACTACACAGGAATGCAGTTTGTAGTCAGGCCTGTGATTTGATTTAAAGAGATTGATAACATCCCAAAGACAAAGCTGAAATTTGTCTGCAGGATGCTATGTTATTCATGTAACAAACTCAGACCTGGGAAGCTACTGAGTCAAATTAAAGACATAATTTATCCTCTTCATTAATACCTGTTTTCTTATTCTACCTGTGTGTAATAATTTCTGTGCTGCTGACCCATAGGACTCCCACAGGTCTGTCCAGCAGGGTGCTGAGTAATCACTTTCCATCTTGATGTCGCGGGGAGATGAAGGCACAGACCATCTCATGAAAAAGCTGCCTTTAATTTTTGCATTCCCTTTCAATTTTGTCCTTTACATTATTTTTTTCCGTGATTTTTATTTATATATAACCTCTGCAAGAGTGTTGATTACATTGACATACTATAATGCACAAGAAGAAAAGTTACCTTTCTAGCATTAATTAGATTACTGAAGAAAATATGCAGCTGAACAGCAATTGCTAATGGAAAAACCTTACAGGACTGCAAACCAGTGCATGTCTGAAATAAAATAGAAGCAAATGATCTAATCAGTCAGAGATTGTTTGCTCCATTTGCAGAGGTATTGAATTCAATTAAAGATTACAATACTTAAAGAAGATCATTTAAAACTCTATTTATGGTAAATGCTCTTTAAAAAAAAAACATAAAATGTTAGTGCTTAAACTGATGGAGTGTGTGCTTCCCAGCAGATATCTAACTGATGCAGTGTATGACACAAGTCAGACGTGATACTTCCAGAAAGTATGTTGAATACAGTTGTGCGTGATTTTAAACAAATGAGATCTTAGTGCTTCTGAAGGGGAAAAAAAGTGCTTTTTGTTAATGACTCTGCTCTAAATGAAGGTTTTCCCTACTTGGAGGCTGTGTCATATTTTAACAATGCATGTTTTGGTAATGACAGACATCTTAATTATTATACTTTTACATGTAGATTTTTCAAAGGGGAGAAAGGTACTCAAAGCCTATTGACTGTCAATGGCAGGTGAATGCCTCATTTTCCTTAGTGCCTTAAAAATCCCCCACACCCCCTCCCCTTTGATTATAATGGCATCTAGAGCTGTCAGCCTTCATGCAAGGCACTGCATAAACACATAGGAAGTGACAGCCCCTGCCCCAAATAGCTTAAAGAATAAACAAAAGGTATCAGGTAAGGAGGAAAAAAAGAAGGAAATAAGGAGGTGGGAGGAGGAAGGAAATGAAGAAGGCATTGTGCTGGTTCAGTGTTAACGAACGACATGAGGATTTGCAGCCCAGCCATCATAGCAGAGACAATTTACTGCCCAGATTTTGATCCAGGCTCTTCATGTAGCAGCCCCCAAGCTATAGCTGTCCCATAAGATCATCATGTAGCTTGTGGTAGACTCAGGAGCAGGCAGTTTTAGGACTTGGCTGCCCAGTTTGTCCCAGTTAGGCAGCTGGTGCAAAACCAGCACCAGTTATGTGGTCAGTGAGAAGTTTTCTCCCTGCTTATTGCAGGGGGGTTGGAACTTTGAAGGTCCCTTCCAACACAGACTATTCTATGATTCTTTGATTCTACTTTGCTTCTCACTTTGCTGTTGACACTTGGAGGAACCCGTGACTACTGATGTGGGAGCCGAGGATGGCAGGAGAGGTCCTTCACTCCCCCCACGCTGAATGGGAGGAGGCTCAAACTTTTACATGACTTTATGCACGCAAAAAGAAATCCCCAACCTTAAATGTTACAAGAGCAGGACTTACCTTAAGTGAAAATACACATCTGTGTGCTGCTAACTTTGGTTGAGCCATGAGTATGCACTGGGGCTCAGAAATCATCTATGCTTAGACCATATTTATATGGGCTAAGAATATCATACTCTTTATGAAGTTATTCAGCAAAATGATACAGTTAAGTTCTTCTTTTTCTCTTTTATTTTTTGACATTTTTTTTAAAGTCTCATTTGCAAGTTTTTCTATTCAATCATGAAGGCAATAAACCTCTTTTAAAATTGAAAACAAAGGAGATTCACATGTTGTATAACTCCAGGAGCCGGAATGTTGAGCAAAACATCAAGTACTGCAAGGCTTGCAATAAAAATTGCAAGAGTTGGCAGAAGTGGAAAAGCTTCAAAAGGACTTTGAGTATGGGTTTTTCTTGAATTAGGCTAGCACAATCAGGCCTTTAGTAAATCTTTGGCATGGCTTTGTAGATCTATATTAACTGGAAGTCCTAAATGAAGTGATAGTAAATCAAGAATAATATGCTAATTTCTCATTCCTTTCCAAGGATGTGGTTATGACAGCCCATCCACAGAGCAGCCTCTGCTCTTGTGTTGGAAACTGTTTCTGAAAGTTGTGTGAAAATAGCTTTTTTTTTTCTTCCCCTAAGGGATTCTGGCTGTCCTCTTTGTTCTCATCAGAGTGGGCTCTTATCAATAACACTAAGCCACTTAACCAGCAATTGCAATATACTGGGAGATAATTGTATGTTTTGGAAGAATAGGCACTGATTTTTGGTCAAGCAGAATTCAATTGACTTCATATTAAATGGATGAGCTGAAATTTGGTCAGTTGCCTTGGAGGACACACATCAGGTGAAGGGTATGTTTCTTTACATGGATTGAGGTAGCAGATTT